TGTCTCAAAAAAGAACCCCCCTCCCAAGAAAAAAAAATCCAGCACTCGGGAAGCTCTGAGGTGGAGACCAGGTGGTCTACATAGTGAGTTCCAGGCCAACTGGGGCTACGGGGAGACCCTGTCTTTAAAAAAAAACAGAAAATGATTTTTTTTTCTTTCCTTTGTCCCCTTTTTATCATGTTTCTAAAAAAAAAAAAAAAATTGTGATGAGCTTGAATTACTTGAGTAACTTTTTCAGTAGTCAAAAAGCAATAAAACATTTCAGAAATCTGGGAGAGGATGTAGGCTTCATGGCAGGAAATTGCCACTTTGTTACTGCTTTTAGTGTTGCTGGATTTTTTTTTTAATGGGCACTGCATTGGTAACATAGTTGTACTTACAGAGGATGCACTGTAGATGTTTTACTCTTAAATTCTTTCCCAAGCTGCTATGTGTTCTTTGCAACATCACCTTAAATGGCTGACTAATGTTCTATAACATGGTCTCTCACTCTGTGGTAGGCATTTTGGAACATGGGACAAGTGACAGTCAGGTTTTGCTTTCCTTTCTGATATTGCTGCTGTTCCTCTGAGTTAGGGCCCCAGGTAAAAGCCTGGCAGTAATTGAATAGGGTCTGCTTGTCCAGCTTTCTTAGATCCACAGTGCTAAACAGGTGCATGGGAGCAGAACAGATAAGTTGGTCTTACTAATTATTTGTTTATTTTGTTTTTTTAATTTATTTTAATTTTATGTGTATGAGTATTTTGCCTGCATGTATATAAGTGCACCTATGTCATGCAATGCTCGTGGAGGACAGAAGAGGGTGTCAGATCCTCTGGAACTGGAGTTACATACAGATGGTTGTTAGCTGCTATGTGGGTACTGGGATCATACCTGGGTCTGGGTCCTCTGTAAGAGCAGCCAGTGCTCTTAAGTGCTAAGCCATCTCTCCAGCCCATTTGTTTGTTTGTTTGATCATTCATTTTTTGTTGTTGTTTTGTTTTTTTGAGACAGGGTCTCCTATAGCCACAGCTGGCCTGGAACTGCTATGTAGACCAGGCTGGCCTTGAACTCAATAGAGATCTGCCTGCCTCTGCCTCCCGAGTCCTGGGATTAAAGGTGTGCACCACTACTCCCAGCCCCTGTTTATTTTTTATACAGAGTCTCATTATATAGCAAAGGCTGGCCTTGAATTTTTGACCTTCCTATCTTCTATATTGCTGGGATTACAGATGTACACCCGGATTAAAGGCATGTGCCACCACACCCGACTGTACTTTTTAAAAAATGGCAAAATTACAAAATTAACTACAAATTGTTGGTGAGATGAAGTATTTCATAGGACAGAGATGGCTAAAATGGAAAATATTTCTAATTCATAAATGGTAATATTGGGGCTGGAGAGATGGCTCAGTGGTTGAGTACATATTGCTCTTCCAGAGGACAAAAGTTCAGTTTCCAGCACCCGTGTTGGGTGGCTCACAACCACCTGTAATTCCAGCTCCAGGGGATCCAACTTTCTCTTCTGTTCCCCATGTGTACCTGCTCCCACATAGACACACATACACATAACTAAAAATAAAAAATAAAAAAGGATGTATTAGTCTATAATAAATGGTAATATTTTGTCCCTTTAATGTAGTCTTGAGAGGTTTAAATCTCAGATCGCTGGCAGAATGTCCGAAAACTCAGGTAGGCTCTTTCTCCTCATAAACTAGCTATGAGGAGCTCTTCTCTGAGTGAGCCTCAGCCCCCAGTTAGCACTTTATCCACAGACACTGCCTTCCCTGTGCAGGCAGATTGTACTCTCTCTCACACAAAACACAGAAACATTGCCCATTTCTTTGAGGAATTTCTTGCTTATTTTTTCTCCTCACTGCATGTAAATAAGACATTAAAGTTTAAATAAAATTGAGTTTCTGAAGTTGATTCTTTGTACATTTGTTTCCTAAAAGTTAATGTTGGGATCACATTTTGTTCCTTTCCTTCTTCTTGGGCTGAGAGCTGAGCCTTCCTATAATCTGAATTCCACACTCTGCTGCTTTAGGGGTCCTCCACAGCACTCCTGATTCCAAACCCCAAAGCACGCCTGATTTCAGACTGCACGGCACTCCTGATCCCAGACACACTGATCCTAATCTTTTGAATAATACTCTGAGACACGTAGTATCAACAGTTGGAGCTGCCACAGTCCATTATCTGTTCAGGGTGCAATTATTTGGCAGCTACCACACAGTGAGGGTTTTGTGGGCCCCCAAAGAACTCATATCCTGAAGAGAGACAGTAATCAAGGCAGGTTCTCTTGGCAGGGACATAAAAAGGGTGGGCTGCAATTGATAGATTTCATTTGTGAGGACTTAATCTGATCTGCTTTGGAACAAGATCATGTAGATGTACTTACTGTCCATTTTCTCTGGGCAGTCTCTGAAGACTCATTTGATAGTGTGATGATAGTATTGTTATAAGGACACAGAGCTTTATTACGAGGCTGCCGCTGTCCTTACCTGCCTCCCTAAGATATACGCAGCCTGTATTGTGGTGTGGGGAGGATGACTGGTGTTCCAGATAGGGTTGGGGAAGCAGTCTTGGCTTTTCAAATGGTCTCACTCTGTAGCCCAGGCTGGCCTTACACTCATAATGATTCTTCTACCTTAGCCTCCTTTGTGCTAGGACTACAGGCATGAACCATCACATCTCCTTTTGACAAGGCAGAGGCTGAGTTTCTTAGGAAGCACATACTTAAGGTGTAACAGGAATGGTACTGAGTGGTACTGGTATAGGTATCCTAAGCTACTGGCACAAGTAAAGCCAGAGGCTTGGGGTGTATTGCTCTGTGCTGTCCCTTTTCCAGTTGTTGAGAGAAGCACTGGATCAGGAGGCTGCTTACCCACTAACAAGAATGCATTCCCTGACAAGACTTGTTCAGGAGCTTTGAGAACTCTGTGTGTGCCTGTGGGTGTGTGATACCAGAGAGTGGAAACCAAGGTCCCATCCTCACCACTGAGCACTTCCTCAGAGCATTTTCTGTTGTGGGCAGACATGTTTTGCCATCAGAATGATCTCTATCTTTGGCTTCTGTCAGAGGTAGAAAGCAGAATGGCCTCATGAAACCAGTGTGTCTTCCAGTTAAATAATGACTTCTATCAAATATGTGGCTTACAAACTTACCACTATGTTGCCTTTTAATTATTTAAATTGGACTTGCCTTAAGAGCAGCAATTCCCAAAGTGTAAGCGAGAACTCTTAGAGTCCCTCAGATCCCTTTGGAGTTGGTGCAGGTTTTCTCTTTCACCAACAGCATACCTATGTGAGGCCAGATTATCTTTATCTTCAGCAAAACAACAGGTTGAGCATGGGTACAGATAACAAGAACTCAGCTGTCTCTAGGAAGCCAGAAGAAAGGAAGACACCATCACTTGAAAACTGTTGAAAATTCTGTGCGTGCGTGCGTGTGTGTGTACATGTGTTATATGTGTAAGTATGTATATGTTGGGAGTGGTGCTCTTTGTGCAGGCCAGAGGTCAATGTCAGTGTCTTCCTCTATCACTTTCCACCTTTTTTTTTGAGGCAGGGTCTTTCACTGAACATGGAGCTCACTATTTAAGCTAGACTGCTGGTCAACAAGCCCCTAGGAGCCACGTGTCTTTTTCACCCTCAGTATTTTATTTAAAAATACAATCTTTAAAAATTTTTTATTATTTTTATTTTATATGTGTGAATTTATTGCCTGCATGTAAGTGTACCTGTGTCATGCAGTGCCTGCAGAGGTCAGAAGAGGGCATTGGATCCTCAGGAACTTGAGTTATGGATGGTTGTTAGCTGCCATGTAGATGCTGGGATATGAACCCAGGTCCTCTGCCATCTCTCCAGCCCAACACCCAACTTTTTACATGAGTATTTGGGATCTGACCTTGGGTCCTTCCCAGCAAGAACTTTACCTACTGAGCCATCTCCCCAGCCCATAGAACTGTCATTTTAATTTAAAATTTTTTAATTTTTAGTATGATAAATAGCAGTAGATATAACTCACATAAGCAACCTTGGAGTCTTTAATAATTAAGAGTATAAAGAGGTCTTGAGTCCAAAGAAGTTTGGCTTAACTAGAGAACCCACTCAGGATTTTTGTTTTGTTTGTGTGTGTGGTTTGTTTTGCTTTGTTGTTTTTGAGACAGGGTTTCATGTAGCTCAGGCTGACCTCGAACTCCCTACATAGAGGAAGATGGCCTTGAACTCTTGATCCTCCTGTCTCTAACTCCTAAATGTTACTATTATAGGTGTGTGTCACCCCGCCTGGCTTTAGAGGGAGAAACATCTATATCATCTCCCTTTCTTGTGCCCTACGTAGGAATTAATAGAGCAGGTTCAGGTTTACATAAATATTGAAAGAAAAGTGGCTAAGTGTCAAGCATATAGCAGGTGCCAGGGACAGCATGGTGGGCAGTGATGCTATTTCCTACGAATCCTCTGATGTGCATGTAGTGCTTCTGTTTGGGTACATATTTTACATATTTGTATCCTGAAGAGGAACTTGTGTCGTCCTTTGGAGCCTGAGTTGTAGGTTAATCTTCCTAATGGAAAGAGGCAGGTTGCTAGGATGGGTATCTTTGTTCAGTTCTCAACTGGAGGAATCAACACACCCCGAGGAATGTGGGCCAGAAGCTGTCCCAGTCCTCCAGTTCTGCCTGATACTCACTGCAGATTTCCTTCCAGGAAAGCAAGGACTGTGTGATCACTTGAGTCACCAGTGTCATCTGCACATGAGTGGCTGGCTACCTAGAAAGGGTGGTCTGGCCTATCAGGATGCACAGAGCCAGTTACTCTTGAATCCCTATTTTGTAATTGGTAAGATTATAGCCATGTGTATTCTGTCTGCTTCACAGAATTTCTAGTAAGACTTGGACTGAGTGGGATTACAGGTGGGAAAACATAGTATTTTTGCAAAAGACCTCTTTGTAGTACCAGTACGTTTTCTGGTCTTTGCCCAGCACTCTGGACTCATGAGTTTCTCTTCTCCTCTCCAGGTTACCTGTGCATGACTGACGAGTGGTTCTCCGAGTATGTTTATGAGGTGGTGGTGGACAGGAAGCATGTCCCGGAAGACGTGCTGGCCGTGTTAGAGCAGGAGCCCATTGTTCTGCCAGCGTGGGACCCCATGGGGGCTTTGGCTGACTGACTGACACTGCCTCAGCTCTTTCCTCCTCCCATGGGACAGGATGTAGCTGCCGAGGACAGATCCAGGGACTGAAGCCAAAGTTACATGGGTGACTGTTCCCACAGGACACAGTCAGACTCTTGGATTTCTAGTCTCCTCCAGGAACCTCTTTGGGAAAGTGTGCTTTGTGCTGAAACAAAATATTCATAAAAGAAAAAAAAAAGGGAAAGATCGGGTCATACTGTCTACTCTCATCTCCAACAGCTCAGGATCTCCTAGCATTTTAATCAGATAAAACTGTTTGTCCTAACTGTCAAGAACGTCTTCACTGTCTGCTGTAATAAGACAGAATCAGATGAGCAACTGAGGTGCACGGAGAGAACACAGACCTCATGCTCCTTGTTCCTAGAGTAGAGTGGGAGCGGGTTAACTAGGCATTGTGCTCTTAACACTGCATGCTGCCTCACAGATCTCTGTCCTTCCTGCAAGGCAGTCATTGAATTCACCTTTTTCAAGGTAACTTCATGTGATTCTAATAGCCCACGAATGGAAGGTTGATCGGGTCTGACATGATTCCTTCCTGTTCTGAACTGTGGGGCACAGCTCTGCTTAGGTCAGGTTAAATAGGCTTAGAGAAAGCAGCCAAGAAAACCCAAACCTTATCATGGTCAGTTACAATCATCGGGCACTCTTGCCAACTGGTTTAGCTTCTGTCTCTGCATTGGGGGTCGGGTGGGGCAAGAAAAGCTAATGTTCGTTCTTTCTGACAACTAGATGGTGCTGAGAAGCTTTTGAATAAAATACTTTGCTAAATGAGAACAAGTCGGCTTATTTGCTATGTCTGAGAAGTGTTTAGTTAGGGGCAAATAGGAGCAACCCAGTGGCCCAGTTTCTTCAGAGTGAATAGGAGCAAAGCCCAGGCTTTCCTGCTTCACCTGCTCTGCAGGACACTTCCAGCCTGTGCCCTTGCCACTTCAACATCACTTCAGCACTCTACCCAGATCCTGTGTCCTTCGATGGTGTGAGAGGACTCCCTGTTGAGCCTTGCCTTAGAACGGGCTAGAGAGCATGGGCTGACAGACTGCATTGAACACATTAGCAGAAACCCAAGTTAGCATTTCCATCAATGTCTGTGCCCCAGACTGTTCTGGCTCCCAAGAATCTTCACAGCCCTAGCAAGAGTTGTCTGTCATGGCACTTTCGAAGGTCAAATCAGATAAAGGCTCAAGCTTTTGCCAAGTGTTGACAGTATTCCAGTAATCCTGTTGTAGCATGATGAATCCATTTCTAGACACTTGATTAAACCACAGATCCTAAAATGTGGATTACCTTCAAACTGAAGACAATTAGATTGACAGTTAGCTTCTTGCCAATAACTACATACATATACCAGAAAATAAATTCACCTTTTAAGTGTCAGGAGAGATTGAGTGTGGTGGCTCCCAGCACACAACAGGTCACGTTAGAATAGTTGCTAGGAGTTCAATGTCAGCCTGGGATACATACATAATGAATTCCAGACCAGTCTGGACTTATAGAGCAAGGTGAATAAAAAAGTACTATGAGAAGAAACTATGAACTGTAATTCCACTCATACTTTCAAAAACAAGAATGATGGGGCTGGAGAGATGGCAGCTAACAACGAGCTGTAACTCCAGTTCCAGGGATTCTAATGCCCTCTTCTGGCCTCTGGGAGCATTGCACATACAGGGTGCACTTAACATCCATGCAGGTATAACACAATAAAAAATGAAAAACGATGGGGGCTGGAGAGATGGCTCAGCAGTTAAGAACACTGGCTGTTCTTGCAGAAGACCTGGGTTGAATCCCAACACCCACATGGCAGCTAACAACTGTCCATAACTCCAGTTCCAGGGGATCCGACAGCCTCTTCCTGTCCTCCACGGGCATTGCCCGACATGAGTGCACTTACCTACATGCAGGTAATACACGCATCATAAAAAAAAAAGATTAAATATGAAAAGGAAAGAACACCAGGATACCAGGTAGTGTAGTAACTAAAATAATCTGGTGAAGCTGTAAGCCACAAATTCAGGGCCACTCAGTAATCAAACTGGCTGACTTGGGGGTGGGGGTTTACTTACATGAACTGCAGTGTGAATGCCTCCCTGAAGTTGTGCAACATGGTAGCCCTGGGAATGCATTGAAGCAAAAGGTAATACCAAAGAGAGAGTCACTAGCTGATAGCTTTACTCCATTTTCCAGAAAAGGGTGAAGATTTTAAATTACTATGCCCTTAATAACATTGTCTCAAAATACATTTTCAAAAACTGACAATATATGGAAAAGTAAGTTATAGTGGGAGAGTTTAACATATTTCCTAATTTTCAAGAGCTCAAACAATTAGAAAATCAGGTGAGAATATAAAAAAAGCATTCAGTAGCTTGATACGAGGGACATTGGAGCTCTACTTCTGACAAGTGCACATACTTTTTGAGCTCATGTGAAACTTTTTTTCTGGTACTGAGGATTGAACCAAAAGCCTTGCACTTGCTAGCCAAGTGTAATACCACCAACCTATATCTCCAGACTATGTATAGGACTTAAAAAAAAAATGAACCACATACTAGACAGTACAGTTAACCTCAAATGTCTAAGGGTTGTTATGTGGACCACACTCCAACCACAGTGTACTTAAGTGAGAAACTAAAGTTAAAAGCTCAGTAGAAGTGAATCCCTATGTTTAGAGATTAACTCATGGGTCCAGGAAGAGATCATACAAGTAGTTTAACCTGAGTTAAATTAATTATACAAATCCACAAAGTAAGGGATCAAGCTTAAAAGAAGATGCATGCAGAGGATAAATGTTGGGTCAACAAAAGTCAAAAGTTCTTTTTAAAAAGTGAAAGTAAATTAACAAATCTTTGGCAAGACTGAAAAAAAAAAGCACAAATGACTGGTTGTGGTAGCTGACACCTGTAATCCCAACACTTGGTAGAGACAGAGGATCAAAAATTCCAGGTCATCCTTGAGTTCTAAGCTAGTCTGTGCTACATGAGACACATGGATCTTGAGGGCAAGAGGCAGATGGATCTCTGTGAGTTCAAGGCCAGCCTGGTTCACATAGTGAGTTCCAGGACAGCTGGGGCTACAGGGAGACCCTGTCTCAAAAAGACCAAAAAAAAGTGATAGAGGAAGCCCTCTGAGGTCGACTTCCGAGATCTATGCATGCGTGCACACAGGTGATTGCACCTGCACACATGTGCACACAATAATTCTATGGCCTAAATTATTATTTGTTAGTCTGGTATAACTCTGATAAGGATAGCAAAAGAACAAAAACCATGGAAATCTCACCTGTAAACATGGATGCAAAAGTCTTAAACCAAATCCAGCAATCTATGAAAAAGATAATCTCAGGGCTGAAGAAATGGTTCAGAAGTTAAGGGCACTCGTTGCTCTTGCAGAGGACAAAGTTTTGGGTCCCAACACCTCTAACCATCACCAGTAACTCCAGTTCCAGGAAACCTGACTCCCTCTTCTGGCTTCCATGGGTACTGCACACCCATGGTGCACTTAACATGCAAGAAAAACACTCATACACATCAAATAAAAATAAAATTTTAAAGATAATCTACCAAAACAATAAAAGCCATTTTTTCAAACAAAACTAGGATCTAACTGGGCATGGAGGTGCAAACCTATATTCCCAGCACTTGGGAGGCCAAGGCAAGAGGACTTACTGAGAGTTCAAGGTTAGCCTGGGCTACAGGGTGAAACCTTTTGCTCCCACACCTCTAATCCCAGCACTCAGAAGGCAGAGGCAGGTAGGTTTGAGTTCAAGGCCAGCCTGGTCTACATAGCAAATTCCAGGCCAGCCAAGGCTACATAGTGAGACCCTATTTTGAAAACACAAAAGCAAACAAAACAACAACCCAAAAACCTGAAACAAAAAAGATCCAGTGAGGAGAAACAAAGAACAGCACTGTGCTTCTGGGTGCCCTGAAATGGAAGGCAATGGCTCTCCATCCCTTACTTGTCACCGGAAGGCAAAGTTGGTGACTCTGGGCCCTCTTGAGCTGTATAGAGTCATGCTGACTGTGTTTGTCCAGAAGCCAAGACTTGATAACAGGACAGGCCTTCCCATGTGGCTGTGACATCTGTTGGCACCAGGCACTGGCGTCGCATTCCTCCTGTGTGGAGGGGGAGCCTTGTTGTTCACCATGGCCACTGTTAGTCATTTGTTGTTGTTGTTGTTTTTTAAGTGATTCCAGATGAGCTCTATATTTAGGACAACATGTTCAGAACTTTTATTGCTTTTCATGAAGATACTGCTTCCTCTTTGTCTGTGGGGCAGATGTACTAAAAGTAGGAATAAACTGGCCTGAGTTTTTCTTTGTTCTCTTTGCAAACTGCAAGTCTTCCACATTTCTGTGGAGGGAAAGGAATATTCAGCTCGTACCAGCTGCAGTTAGTTATCTGGGACAAGGGTATGGGAAGATGGGAAGGTGGGAAGATGGGAAGCCTCACTCACTCACATCTTGGCAGCAGCTGAAGACTCAGCTTGCTCTTGCTCTCTTCTCTAGGGGCCTCTTGTTTAATAGCACAGCTGGAAGTGGGCAGGGTGGACTCAGGCCTTCTTCACAGCTTCTCCATGGTGGTTGTTTGCTTTTAAGAACAGCTATGGTGCAGGATAAGCCAGCTGCGGCATAGTGGCTAAATGGTGGCAGGTATCAGAGTTGTCTCAGCAGGACTGTAGTGACATCCCAGTGCTGGGGCCTGGCTCACTGGTAGTGTTGCACAAGACTCTAGGTCTCATCCACAGCACCACAATGCAAAACTGTGTCATCCCCACACCTCATGAAGCAGGGACCTTATGGCTCACCTAGCCCAAATGCCCCCAAGCCCACAGAAGTCCTTTTACTTCTACTTGGACATTTCCGATGGCAGGGGCACACAGCCCCATGCCCTGCTCACCTCTCCAAACCCAACTTACTTCCTTTTTGTGATGGTTTGAATGAAAATGTCCCCCATAGGCTCCAAGTATTTGGACATTTTGTCCCTAGATGATGGCGCTGTTTTGGGGAGGTTTTAGAAGGTGTGTCTATCCTGGAGGAAGCACATCACTGGGGGTGGGCTTAGAGAGCTCTTAAGTCTTGCCGGATCTCCAGTTGCTCTCTTGCTTCCTTTGCCTGCATGATGATGTGAGAGCTTAGCTTCGGCTGCTCCTGCTCCAGCCACCTCCAGCCACCATGCCTCCCTGCCATGACAGACTGTATCCCCTGGAAGTGTAAGCTCAAATAAATTCTTCCTTCTATAAATTGCTTTGGTCAGTGTTTCTATCACAGCAACAGAAAAGTGACTAACACACCCTCTTATGGGCCTTGATCCAGCATATCTCTCAAATACACTATCAGTTCTGCCTTCTTGCTGTTCCCTCTTCCTAAAGCTCTTCCCTCAGGTCTTTGCATTGTTGGCCTCTCAATATCCAGATCATAAGCTCTAGCATCAAGGCTATCATGATCACTTATCTAAGGAGCTAGCTTCCTCCTGTTGTCTCATCCCCTCCACACCTGTCCCCCTACCCTGTTACTGGAGTCTATTTTTATCACAGCACTTAAGATCTTCTGAAATTATTTATTTATTTATATGTGTATTGTCTAGTTTCCCCAAAGTCAATACTCCCTGCCAGCTTCCCAAGGTCAGGAACTGTCTCCCCACCTCCCAGTATATTCTCCAGAATGCCTGGCTGGAAGTAAATATTGGACGATGACTGGTTGAACATGTACCACATTCTTATAGCTGTAATCAGTTAAAAGTTTATAAGCTGGATGTGGTGGCACATGCCTTTAATCCCA